CTGCAACTAAAGTGAGTGAGATGGTGGGAAACGTCAATACAAGTAGTGCTATTTCAACTTTTGATAAGATGGAAGAGAAAGGAATTACCTTTATTTCGTCAAAAAGAATAAAGAGTAGGGTCGAAGTGACAACAATAAAGGAAGACAATGATAGATGTGATGCTCATCAGAGAATCAGAGATAATTGCGGTAGTGATGGCATGCAGAAAAGAGAATTATGGGCGTGACCCATTGAGCGGAGGGTCGGATTTTATTTTTGAATGATGTGATTTATTTTTCTTATCTTTTGGAAATATCTGTATAATCCCATCAAAGGGTAATCCAAAAAAAAAAAAACGGCAAGCCCAAAATAATGGGCTGGAATGTTATGTGGAGGGCGAAGGCCCATATGCCCAAAAGAGCCAGGCTCTCTATTATCACCAACCAGATGATCAAAAGTACGTCCAGTACTACAAAAAATTATTCGACAGCCTACTGCTATTACCACCAACCAGGTGATCAAAAGTACGCCCAGTACTTCAAAATTATTCGGCACCATGCCGCTGTTATCACCAACCAGGTGATCAAAAGTACGTCTAGTACTATAAAAAATTATTTGGCAGCATGCCGCTAGGTGATCAAAAGTACACCTAGTACTCCAAAATTATTCGGCAACCTGCCGCTATTATCACCCACTAGGTGATCAAAAGTACATCCAGTACTCCAAAATTATACATGAGCATCACTCATGTCCATCATACATAAACATTCATGAGCATCACTCATGTCAATCATAGATAAACATTCATGACCATCATTCATGTCAACATTCATGAGCATCACTCATGTCAACATTCATAAGCATCACTCATGTCAACATCCATGAGCATCACTCATGTCAATTAGCTTCAGCTTCATTTACAAAGTCCTAGCTTCGAAAGCTTCATTTATAGAACTCCAACTTCGAAAGCTTCATTTATAAAAGCTCCAGCTTCGAAAGCTTCATTCACAGAGCTCTAGATTCAAAAGCTTCATTTACAGAGCTCTAGCTTCAAAGCTTCACTTGCAAAGCTTCACCTACAAAGCTTCAATGCAGGGTATACAAATACCGCCTCCGAACAACTGCCACTTCGGCCCATACATGGATTCAATTTGAAGTCTCCAGCCAACAGACCCTATTGACTAAAGACTTGGGGGACTACATTATGTACCATATATTGGGCCTCATAAAAAATACTTGGGGGACTCTAACCCATCACTTATGTATTGAGGAACAATTCTTTATTTTATAAAAGGGACTCCCTCACTTTCATTAGAAAGCACCCATTATTCATGTACTGAGGAGTGATCCCTTATCTTATAAAAGGGACTCTTTCCTATTCATTAGAGAACATCGCCGCCTACTGAGTAACCGCCTCGCCACGAGCACCACTTCTAACCCATTACTTATGTATTGAGAAGCGAGCCCTTATTCTATAAAAGGGACTCCCTCACAGTCATTAGAGAACATCAACTCTAGCCCATCATTTATGTATTAAGAAGCGAGCCCTTATTCTATAAAAGGGACTCCCTCACCTTCGACGCCACAAGCCGAGCCAACCAAGGCAACATAAGCTACAAGCCTCGCAACATGTGCTATTTTTAGTTGAGCATCATTTCAGATTGAGCACCGCCTCATATCGAGCATCAGTTCAAGACAACATCTAGTTACTTCGGCCCATACATAGACTGAGTTTCAAGTCTCCAGCCAAAAGACTCTCTTGACTGAAGACTTAGGGGACTACTGTTTGTACCATACTTATGACTTCCGTATTTAGATCTCATATAAATACTCGGGAGACTCAAATGTAATTATGTAATAAAGGAAGGGGCAAATATGTAATAAGTGAGGAGCCCTTATTCTATAAAAGGACTCCTCACTCTCCTCATTGAGAGAGCCCAATTCTTAGGCCTGACCCATCACCCTCTCAAACCCTCTCATACTCTGAGATTCAGAGCTCTCATCCTCACAGAAAAGCTCCCTCTATCTTCTTCAACATCTCAGAGAAATACAATAATCAGTGTGGACGTAGCCCAAACATTGGGGTGAACCACGATACATCTTGTGTTATTTACTTTCTTACAGATTCACGGTCGGATTTACGTTGTTCCAAGACCCTTCCGGTTTTGTGCATCAACAAATAGTATGCCATAAATGTCATGCATATAAGTTTATAATTCATACATGATTGGGTATGTGATGCTTTATATATATAAATGTGGTGCTGTGGACACTCAGGTAAGCTCAGGTAAGTTGTGTATGATTATATGAATCATCGATGATGCGATATGTGATTGAATAATGTGAGCTCATAAAACTGCAATTTCGGTGATTGTGATTTAGCCATAGATATGGCACATGCCTGTTTATTATGTCACCTATCGCACCATATGCTCATATTGGATCTAATTTAGGTGCATAGTATTGTCGTACAGACCTTATTTATGGTTCCGACTCGTAGGTAACTAGCAATTTATCGCCCAGCTATTATATGAGAGTAGTATTGAGCATGATTGTATTACACCCATTATTGTCGTATAGACCTTTTGTTTGGTTTCGACTTTTGTGCAGTATATTGCCGTATAGGTCATAGTAGTGACTCCGGCTAGAGTGACTTTTGGAGCTATGAATTTAGCTGTACAGACTACCATAGGGGTTCCGGCTCCCATGTTATATTTCTATGAAATTATTCTTACCTGAATTGCTTACTCTATTATATCCTGGCATGACATATATATATATATATATATATATGATTATGTGAAGCATGAATTGAATTGATATGATTTCATATATATTTATGTATATGCTTATATCTTGATTTTGGGAAAAATTATACATGTTTTACAGCGAGGGGTTAGATATGTTGATAAATGAAATGGTTTTGTAAAACATTTGTTTTTGCCCACTTACATTTTCTGTTTTGCACCCCTCCAAGTTTTAAGTAAGCTTGTTGTTGGTGGCTTGAGGACGTCGGCAGTTCTAACCTATCTAAATAATAGTAGGACATTCCTAGTACTGTATAACTGGTATTTGTCCTACTGGACTGCACCCAGACTTATTATGCTCTGATTATAAGTGTTTACTTTTGTAACTAACTCCTATCACTTCCTGTTTAGTAGTGCACTCTAGTAATTCGGTTTTTAATTATTCCTATATTTCTTATATCTATTGCTTCCGCACTGTGCACATGGCTACGTCACTCTCACGTGACGGCCAACATGCCTTGATCTCGGTCGGGGTGTGTCACCATCGCCAGCACACACTGGACCAAGTCCCTCGGGCTATCTGGCCCTGTTCCAACGCCAGTCCACGGGGCAATAGCCCACAGTGGAACTGCTTTTAGGAGAATAGAGTTTGTGGATACTCCGCCGACCGCCGTCGAGTTGATTGGAGCATGGCTGATCATGTACCCAACAACCAAGATCGCACAGACGAACTTCAATTGTCAATTCGATAGTAATTTCAAATTTACCCCACATATATTTTTTTGGTTAAAATTTACCCCACATATTTTATTCCACTTCCTCAATTGAGTCAAAATTCTAAAGTATAACTTTTCTGTTTTGTAGAAAAGTGGGTTCGAAAAAGGGTTAATCACATTCCATGAACTTCAGGGGTTGCTCCACTATCGTTTTTGTTTTTTCTCTGGGGTCCCAAATTGGTTTATTGGGTAGGGCTCGAATATGGCCAATTTAAAAAGCAGCCCAACACGTGGCATGACACGAATTTTAGTGGGCGGATGAATCTTAATAAGCTACATTTTAAAATATGTTAGAAATTTACAACGATATTTTAAAGTTCTGCACTTTGAAATTAGTTATATATTTATTTTTTTACTAATATGTCATAAAATTATATGTTTCTACTTATATTATAAGACGTGAATTAATACAATATTTTTAAAAGAAATTAATACACCATTTAAAAAGTATTTCGGATATACTTAAAAAGGTCTCCAAATAAATTATTTGGTGGTTTTGTCGTGACCAAAGTAACTTAGTAAATATGCAAAAGTTGACCCAAACAAAAAAACAAAAAAATGCAAGCAACATTTAGGGAGGTTGAATTTCTTCAAACCATCAGACGCCTAGTGCTATTCACACACTCTTGTTAATTTTTCATCGATCTTGTTTAATCCATTCGATCTGACGTCGAAATTTGAGAAATGTATGTGGGAAATTATCTGGTGGTTTGTCGTGACCAAAGAAACTTAGTAAATATGCAAAAAATGCAAGCAACATTTAGGGAGGTTGAATTTCTCCAAACCATCAGATGCCTAGTGTTATTCACACACTCTTGTTAATTTTTTTTAACCGATCTTCTTCTATCCATTCGATCTAACGTTGAAAATTGAGAAATAAAAATATTTGTAGATAGCACAACCGTATGCATAATGCATGTTGTGTAACATGTTATACCGTTTAATATGCGACAACAACAAAAAAGTAGTAGTCCTAGTTGTTGCTAGAACACGTTTTTTTCAAGACAATAGCTTTTTAGTGGATTAAATTGTTAAATGTTAAGGGATAATCATTAGGAATTGAATCATCATAGGATATGCATAAGCATTATTGTTTTCTACCATTATGATAAAGCATCATCCGCATGGTCGTTAACCCCATAATAAAAGCACATGCTATAATACGATAGTATACACTGTATAACTTTTTATCTTTTTTTTTTTTTGACAAGGAGATATTGATTTGTACTCGTCAACTATCAACGACTTGGTCTACCTGTTCCACCTAAGTTGATTCCTAAAATTACTGCAAGTATATGCATCATCAAGTATCGACGAATATGTCTTCCCCGTTTCGCCTTAAACGTATGTACTCTCTGTATGTGTTTTTGTTTTTGTTATTTTTTTAAATAACTCCCTAAAAAAGCGCGGGTCTTTTCCGGTTTAAACTCGCTTCGACTTCCGCGTGCTCCGTCGCCCACCACCACTAATTTTCCTTTATAAACCGCAGTTCGTTTCCCGAGAAAATTGAGAAGGAAAAGAGAATCGAGAAGGAAAAGAGAATCGAGCCTTCGGAGCTCGGTTCGGAAAACCTTCTCCCGCCACCACCTCCTCCTTCTCCTCACTCTCACCTCACGCCAAATCCTTCAAATTTTCATTTTCCTCCTGCTAATTCTAGGGTTTCAGAAGCCGGACTGATTTGAATTTGATTAATTGGGAAAATATGAAATTTGGAGACACTTACACCGAGTTTTTGCACAAGGAAAAGATACGATTGTCGGAGAATTGCTCGCATGTCGAGTACAAGCGGCTGAAGAATGTCCTCAAGACTTGTCAGAGTTGTAAGGCATTGCAGGAATCTTCAGCTACGGAAGGACAAGAAGGCGCTTCTAACCAAAATCAGCAATTGTGCCAATGCCAATCTTGCACTTGTAAGAATTGATTACCCAATAATTTGATTTCATTTAAAGGAAAATTAACTAAAATAGTTCGAAAACTTTGAGTTTTAATTAAAAAGAAAAAAATGTGTTGTAAATGAATAGTAATAAGAGTAATTTTTAGAGTAAAAATGTTATTTTCGTTAAAAATGAACCGGAGTGTATCGTTAAAACTCTCTTAATTTAATTTGCCTATTTTCATTTGGGTTTCTGGTTCTGTTTGAATTAAGCTCGTTAACAATTGGGTTTTTGTTTAATTACTGTATGGTTCGATTAGGGAGTTTTTGCAAATTTAGAACTATTTGGTTGTGTTTAAATCCTGGTAGGGAAACATGGGTTTTGATTTTCGAATCGTCAAGGTTGCAGGGTTTAATATTAAGATCTACCCAATTGCTTTTGTCCAGGTATCTACATTCTGCTCAAAGGGTTTAATATTAAGATCTACCAAATTTATAAACCATGTTGTTTTAGTATTTTAGCCCTTTTTCGGGTTTAGTTTTACTTTGTAGAAGTGAGTGTGCAGGTATATTTAAATAACGAAAGGACCATTTCAGAACTTTCTTAACGAATACGAGATGTTGCCACAACTGTGCCTTCCTACTTTTCTTGTTTCTTAAAAAGGATGTCGACATTTGGGAATTTTTAAAGTGGTGAGATATCATGACTAACATGTTTCTGTGGAATAAGTTTGCTTTATAAGTGGTTCACATAGCTGCAAACAATGAGCATTACTATTTGGTGGTCATCTAAGATTTAAAAGTTCGTTTGTTTGGATTCTTTTAGAGTGACAATTAATCAGTAGTTAGACGTTTGAGGCCTATTTTGTAAGAGATTTGTTATTTTTTCTCGGTGTTAGTATTGTTGCTTACTTTTAAGTTCATAACTAATGTTCGTAGTCTCATCAACTCTCATTTTTCTATGTTGTAGTGTGCGACCAGGCATTTTTCACGGAGTTAATGAAGGAGGTTTCAGAAATAGATATATGCTTTAGTTTGAGAGTCAGACATCTCCTTCATCTCCATGTTGCTACCGGGTTGCAGAGATACTTTCTGCTGTTCCGTCAGTGCTTCATGAATGATCAACAAGCCATGGTAGAAAAAGGGCGGATGTTGATTGAGTATGTTACGATGAACGCAATTGCTATCAGAAAAATCCTTAAGAAATATGATAAAGTATGCACGAGACTGGTCAATTATTATTATTTTTTTAATTTGCTAATTTGGTTCATGGTGTTGTGTATCTAACAGTGTTCCTTTGTTTTAATCTTATACTACAGATACATAGCTCCGAAAATGGCAAGCTTTTCAAATCCAAGATGCGGGCTGAACATATTGAGATTTTGCAATCACCTTGGCTTATAGAATTGGGTGCATTTTATTTGAATCTTGATGTATTGGATGGTGACGAGCTTAATGAGGTTTCTGGTCGCTTTTCCTGTGATCTCTCTGGGACACCACCTACAATGACATTGATGCTTCCTGACTCCTTAAAGATGGAATATGATCTAACTTGTGCTGTATGCTTGGTAAGGTCCTTTTCACTTGCATTCTGAAAGAGAACTTGGCTTTTGTACATAAATGTTCTGATGTGTATTTGATGATTCGCAGGAAACTGTTTTCAATCCCTATGCTTTGAGCTGCGGCCACCTGTTCTGCAAGTCCTGTGCGTGCGCAGCTGCTTCTGTGTTTATCTTCCAAGGCCCTAAATCTGCAGCCCCGGATGCAAAGTGCCCAATATGCAGAGAGGTAGATACCTAGTTTTTGAAGAAAATGGTTATAATCATTTGTAGTCCAAGAACCTTTAACTTGTTAATTTTCCGAACCATACAATACAACTTAAAAGTGCTATTGGGCGAAAAGTATGAATCATATTCAGAAATGTGATCACAATGCCGGCAAGATCTAGTGGCCCTAGTCCTTGAATAGTGTTCATCTTGATCATCATATTCTTTTCTGATGTTGTAGTCTCCACTTAGTAGTATATCTTTAGTAAAGGGTGCTTTTAAAAACATGGTTTATAACATAATGCTAAAACTATTGAAGTTCTATCAAATTATATTTTCCAACTTGGCATTTGGGAGGGAACTCTGTCCTTCGGATTCGCATCTTTCACTCGCAGAATCCACTCCAGCCCTAGGGATTATATGTGTGTGAACTTTTTAATAACTATCAGATGATTTATATTGCATTGGACGGGATTCTCACTTAATTTTGATGTTTGGCTTTTCTGCAACTGTAGTTCTCGTTTCCCAAACTTCATTCTCTGCTTATTTAAAATTTGAAAGAAAAGATTGACATTTCGCATCATATATTGTTTGATCTTTAAGTTCGTATCCTCCTCGAATGCAGGCTGGAGTGTATGCTAAAGCAGTGCACATGTTGGAACTAGACCTGCTCCTGAAAACAAGGTGAGAAAATTGAAAACCTTCAATAGTTCTTAACTTTTGATGAAAGAGCTACCTTTTTCTGACTCCTAAAACCCTACCAGGTGCAACAACCATTGGAAAAAGAGGTATAATGCAGAACGCGCAGAGATACTGAAGCAAACTAAGGAGTTCTGGGATACGCAAGCAAAATATGCAGGGTTTTGATTGATCAATTGAGGGGGCACAGGGTCCCATATCTATAATCACGTGATGAGAAATGCAGGAAGACGGTGATATATCCCTGGGGACAGCCAAGAACCTCCTGCGATCTAGCCAATAAAGCGTTTAATGCTGCAAATCCATCGCGTTGGAAAGATCATTGTTTGAAGCTGGTATATTTATATGTATTTGTGTTCATATACCGGCATTTTTCGTTACTTTATTCGTTGACATATTAGGCAAATTAGGTATTAATTATCGTACATAAACATTAATTTTCCAATTAAAATTGTATGGCTCGTGAGCCTGTATTTTTTTTTTTTTGGTAAATTTTACATTCTTGATTTCTGCAGAACTTTTTTTTTGGGTAAAGTTTAAGAGTAAATGTAAAAGAAAGCGAAAAAAATGTTACATTCTGTTTGATGAGTTAACATTAGTTTGGTGATGTATGGGACTACTTGGTGTCTCACACAAGAAATTCAACTAAAATAAAATAACAATAATATTAAGCAAAGAAAATAAAAATAAAAGAACTAATTTAATATATAAAATACTTTTTTTATTACAAATTATATTCATATTTGATGTGTAAAAACCACATTTACATATCATTTTTATTAGCACATTATAATTATTAATAAAAATGTAAGTAATTCTTGAAATAGTAGTTGAAGTGGTTCATCAAAGAAGTACACAATTAGAACTTCTTACAACCTATAAGCACTTCTAATTGAAGCTTCCTCAATATCTGGTATTGAAATTTTTATTATAGGGAGAGAAAAGAAAAGAAAAGAAAAAAGTGAGAGAGGAGGGGATTTGGATGGGAGAGTTTACTCTTTAATTTCTATGTGAGATAAATTTCAAAAATTTCTTAAAAATGAAGAATGCATAAGTTCCAATGTCTCGATTTCACACTTTCCTAATATTGCCTGTATTTTATATATAAGAAGCCTTTAAGGGAAGGGATTCCCATTTTTCAAAAAAAAATAGGGATATCATATTGACCGTTAGATTTGGCTTTAATGAAATCCTGTGATTGAGATTCCGTGGCCTGTAATTTAATCTCAACCACAAAATTTCATTAAAGCCAAATCTAATGGTTAAGAGGGTGTCCCCATTTTTAAAAAAAAATGAGGATCCCTTCCCTTAAGGGGCTTGTATATATATATATATATGTATGTATGTGTGTGTATATATATATATGTATGTATGTGTGTGTATATGTATATGTATGTATGTATGTGTTTGTGTATATATATATGTATGTGTGTGTGTATATATGTATGTATGTGTGTGTATATAAGCTTATATAATAGTTTTTTTTTTTGTTTTTGAATTATGTCATTTGTTGTACTAGTAGTTCTTTTTGTTAACTCTATTAACTTTTCCGTTAAGTTAAGGAATAAAATAGAAATTTCATAAAAAAAAATAAGAAAATGATTTTATTTTTTTAAAAGAAAGACTTGACTCCTCAAAATTGACAAGGAACTCCTTCTTCAAATACCTCGTGATCTATTTACATAATTTCATACTTATATTCGGAACTTCTTAAGGATTGACTAAAGAATCTTAGTTTTAATTGAATTTTTGTAGAGATTATCTTTACATAATGATTTATAATAAGAACAGTTTTGATTATAAGCACAAAATTCTGTGAACAAATCTCTCCTTAACCTTAAGGAGCCAAGCTCTTCTTTTTTTATTTTTTTATAAATAAATCCGATTTTTTTATGTATGAATAGACCACTATACCCTTATATTTAATGGAAAAGATAGATTTGATAAAAGGATCACTCATGCAACGTAGAATTAAGTTGAAGGACACAAGAAACTAATATAAGAGTTTAGGAACAAAAACTAAATATGATATAAAGTTCACGGACCTTAGCTATTACGCATCAAAAAGTACAACTGATTTTTACACAGTTTTCACGTACTCTTGTTATAATTTCTAACCATAGATGAAATATAATCTTTATATATAAAGCCAACAACCTCTTTTGGGATCACAAGCTTCACCAAGTTTTTTTGGACAAAAATGCTCCCAAAACAAAAAATTTCAAAAGCAGCCCAACATAATGCACCAAATAATGTAAGGGTATTTTCATCATTTTAATAATGTTTTTTTAATAATTAAGTTTTTTTGTATATATTTTTTTAATTAGTACCTCACAATAGGCTAGTAATAATGTGATTCAATCAGTTGTTCATTAAATATTATTTTCTCTATTTTTAAATATGTTCAAAACATCTTAAAAGGTATGTAATGCCGATTATAAAAAAGATCTTCTGCACGCACATAATAATGTTATTAAATTAGTTGTCAAATGATTGTTTTTTTTATTTAACAAATGATATTATTTATACTAAGGAGGAGGGGTGGGCTTAGCCTCACAATGGGCTAGCAATAATGTGATTCAAATCAATTGTTTATTAAATATTATTTTCTCTATTCTTAATGTAAATTCAATAGAATGTAAATGGAAATTGAAAGACCGATTTTATTATGTAAATTCAGCTGCTTTGATTGGTTTGTGAAGGGTTTTTTCTAGCATGATCTACTTCAAATATTTGACTGTCCTTTTGTCAATTCACACATATAAGTACATTTAAAACGTGTAAGTCGCGAGTAGCACGCCGTGATTCAAAAAATGCACAAACATGTCCCCAAAACAAAAAATTTCAAAAGCAGCTCAAAATAATGCAAGGGTATTTTCATCATTTTAATAGTGTTTTTTAATAATTAATTCTTTTTGTATAGTTTTTTTTTTTTTTTTTTTATTTTTATAAATTAGTACCTCATAATAAGCTAGCAATAATGTGATTCAATCAGTTATTCATTAAATATTATTTTTTCTATTTTTAAACACGTTCAAAACATCTTAAGAGGCGTATAATGCTGAATATAAAAAAGATCTTTTGCACGAGCATAATAATGTAATTAAATTAGTTGTCTAATGATTTTTTTTTAAACAAACGATATTATCTACACTAAGGGAAAATGGGTGTGCATAGCCTCACAATGAGGTAGCAATAATATGATTCAATCAGTTGTTTATTAAATATTATTTTCAATATTCTTAATGTAAATTCAATAGAATGTAGATGGAAATTGAAAGACTGATTTTATTATGTGAATTCAGCTGTTTTGATTGGTTTGTGAGAGGTTTTTCCTAGCATGATCTAAGATGATTCATTCATTTATTTATATATAAACCCAACAACCCCTTTTGGGGTCACAAGCTTCACCAAAAAGTTTTGGACAAAAATGACCCAAAACAAAAAAATTTCAAAAGCAGCCCAAAATAATGCAAGGGTATTTTCGTCATTTTAACAGTGTCTTTTAAATAATTAATTCTTTTTGTACAATTTTTTTAATTAGTACCTTGCAATAGGTTAGCAATAATGTGATTCAATTAATTGTTCATTAAATATTATTTTGTCTATTTTTAAATACGTTCAAAATATCTTAAGAGGTGTGTAATACTGGTTATAAAAAAATGTTTTTCACATGCGCATAATAATGTAATTAAATTACTATCAAATGATTGTTTTTTTTTTTTGAATAGACAATATTATCTACACTAAGTAGGAGTGGGTGGGTTTAGGCTCACAATGAGCTAGCAATTATGTGATTCAATCAGTTGTTTATTAAATATTATTTTCTCTATTCTTAATGTAAATTCAATAAAATGTAGATGGAAATTGAAAGATTGAATTTATTATGTGAATTCAGCTGCCTTGATTGGTTTGTGATGGGTTTTTTCTAGCATGATCTAAGATTATTCATTTACTTCAAATATTTGACTTTCCTTTTATCAATTCACGCATATAGATACATTTAAAATTTGTAAGTCGCGCGTAGCATGCCGTGATTCAATAAATGTCCAAAAATGACCCCAAAACAAAAAACAAATATCAAAAGCAGCTCAAAATAATGCAAGGGTAATTTCTTCATTTTAATAGTATTTTTTTAATAATTATTTCTTTTTGTACATTTTTTTAATTAGTTCCTCACATAGGTTAGCAATAATGTGATTCAATCAGTTATTAATTAAATATTATTTTCTCTATTTTTAAACACGTTTAAAATATCTTAAGAGACATGTAATGCCGATTATAAAAATAGGTCTTTCGCACACATATAATAATGTGATTAAATTATTTGTCAAAGGATTGTTTTTTTTTTTACAAACGATATTATCTACACGAAGGGAGAGATGGGTGAGCTTAGGCTAATAATGGGTTAACAATAATGTGATTCAATCAATTGTTTATTAAATATTATTTTCTTTGTTCTTAATGTAAATTCAATAGAATGTAGATGGAAATTGAATGACTGATTTTGTTATGTAAATTCAGTTGCTTTGATTGGTTTGTGAGGTGTTTTTTGACACACCCTGGCCTGGAATATCCATAAGGACTCTGAATCGACCTGTGCTGGCTGACATCTGGAAGGTGACGAAGCCATAAAGTGTGATGATGTGGAAAAATATGAATAAATTTGAACCTAAGAGTGACTAAATACCAGAGTGCGCTGGTGAGCGAGAATGAACCCACTTCACATGTGATGTTAGAGCATAGGTAAAGTACAGTAGAGTAAGATATGGACTATACCATCAAAGGTAGTCACTTATTTTGGACTGTGCCAATCATCCTCGTCGATACGGAAGCATAGCCACTAAAACCTGGAGGGCTGGAAAACAGAAAATGTGAGTGGCCTAAAAACAAAGTTTTAATAAAGATCTTCTAAACGTTATAATCCCTCGTTGTAACACCTGTTTAGTTTCCAGAAAATCATATTACGTATAAGGATGAAATCAATTGTATACTATCAGTAAATCCAGAAGTATACCACAATACAACATCTCATCAGCAATATAAATAATCAAGTGCTTAATAATCCATACTAGCACGCAAGTCGGAGTTACCTAATGTGACCTGTATGACTGCACCCATATCTCATCGATCAATGCTAGCACATAAGTTGAAGTCATCTATAGTGACCTATACGACTCACCTATATCTCATCAATCAATGCTAGCACGTAAGTTGAAGTCATTTATATAGCTTATCAACCAATTCCTGCACATGAGTCGGAACCACCTAAAGTGGTATGTGCGACAAGCTGGGTGTAAATAAATACGCTCAAGTGCTACGATCACGTGAAGGCTATGTGAAGTATCGCAAGTTACCTACGAGTCGAAACCACCTAATGTGGTCTGTACGACAAGCTGACACCTACCTTGGATCCAAGGTGAGCATGACGTGTAGGAGGTGAACAATCACGTGAAGGCTATGCCCTGGCCACTAGCGGAGCACTAACACCAGAGTGCAAGATAATGAGCTCTAACTACATCTATTCTAACATGTACGACTCATGGATAACATGTACGACATTGTCGGAGTTGCCTATCATTGTAACATGTACGACAAGGTCGGAGTTGCCTAAAACATACATGTAGTCATGCCATAACTTAATCATTTCAACTAATACCATAAACTCACCTAAACTTACCTAGGTCTCATGTGTTCACCTTTGCACTTTAAAGCATTCAAAATAATTACATATGGATATACCATGATGCAATCTACTACTCAACCATGTAATAGCATTTTCAATTATATACATATATGTATAATATGGCATAAAATGCATACGCTGTAACGCCCTATTCCCGAACTATTTATTTTCGAGAATAATTATCGATGATAAGCCTATTTAGACACTAGTTTAATTAACTATCATCACTTACGTTTTCTTACTTTAATTTTTTGATTCTTCACACATTGATTTATGAATAACATTTAACCACCAAATCATAAGGTTAAATCTCACATTTTCCACCAACCTCCATCACATTGCTCAATTCCTCAAACAAGGTTATTGTCTCAATTATTTAGTCTCATTTATTGTATGGCTGCATCTAATGTCTCGTTAAACTGCTTACGTATCCTAAACAGGGATCAAGCCAATCGTAGTTCACAGTAATTATTAGTAGGTAACATGTATAAATCAATTTAGGAGCGTTTGTGGAACTATCAATTATTATACATATGATAAAAAGGAAAAGACCCACTCACCTAAGGTCTGCACTATAACTCTCAAGCACGAATATCGAGACGTCACGAATGATCGGCGCCTAGAACAATTATCAAATCATATCTCAAAATTCTTATCATATAATACACAATTTACATAAAACACACCTCTACAATTCGATCCGGAAGATCCGCATCACGAATTCCCGATCCATTACTTCCAAAGATCCACATTATACTTCTAGAACATAATACTAAAGTTTCATTACGATTCAACGGTTGGATCTCCACAAATTGGCAATTCAAGTGGCGGTCAACGTTTTATTTTATGAACTTACAAATCCAATTTGGGAAGATTTGTACGTCAGATTTCCAATCCGTAAGTTTCTAATATCCTCAAATATTACATACTATAATGTATTAAAATTTGATAACGATCCAACGGTCGGATCGTCAATTCATGCAAGGATCTCTTGATGGCCAATTAGGTGGTCAACTATGAAACTACATTAAACATAATAATTTCCCTAAACGGATGTCAAATATGGAATCGGGGCTTCAAAATTAGCTTAGGAAGATCAGGTGGCCTGCCGCCACAGTTCGCCGGAAAATTCCACTATTTCTATAAATTCTCAAATGTCACAGAAATGAAGATCTCAAAGAGAGAAACAACTTTCATACCTGCCACGAAGTCCAAACGTGGACGGAAGATGGTCAATTTTGCCCTCAAAGCCAGCGGGTGCCTAAGGATTTCTGGCGTCGATTCATTGTCTACAATGGTCCAATGGGGTCAAGGTTGGTTGGGATTTTCTCCTGGGATGATGGGTTACAAAGCCCAAGTGGTGGCATCGGCCATTGCTTTGCCGATTTGCCGAAAAATTGAAAATAGTGGCTGGACATGGTTTTGACGCGTCGGATTTCGTGGCTTCGCCCGACCACATGTGGTGGTTTATAAAGGTGGTTCTTGGTTGGGTTTTGTAGAGGGGAATGAGAGCTTCAAGATGGTGGTGGTGGTGTCGAAAAACTCCATCGGAGTTGGCTGGAATCGGCCTTAGAAAATGAAAGGTCGCGAAGGTGGTTTTGGGTTGTACACGGGAAAGAGAAGCTGGGAGCTTCTCTCCCTTTCTCTGATTGGCTGCTGTCCTTCTTTCTCCCTTTCTGATTGGTCACTCACTCCTTTATCTAATTGGTCCTTTACTAACACAAGTCTGATTGGGCCACTTTCCCAGAAGGTGGTAATTCAAATAATTTCTAACTAAGCTTTAAATAGCAATTTTCAAACATCCATAACTATATTGTTATAATCCGGACTCGCAAACGGCTTTCACCTATGCGTTCGTACCAACGAGTACTACGAGGATATGCTAAAAGAATAAGTCCAACATCTCTTAAACCGATGGTCAATAGAAGTCAAAATCCTTGCCTTTAGGGTATTTTTGTAAATTCACACTTTTTAAATTAATAAAAATGTAAAATTAGGGACGGGTTGTCACATTTTTTCTAGCATAATCTAAGATTATTCATTTTCTTCAAATATTTGACTTTTCTTTTGTCAATTCATGTATATAAATACATTTAAAACGTGTAAGTCGCGTGTAGCAAAATGTGATTTAAAAAAAAGAGTAGTCTTAGAATTTAGGGTTAATCTCTGTTTACTGCTCTGAAGTTTCGTGGTTTTCAACATTTAGTGCATGAAGTTTTTTTCATCCCAAAGTCATACCTCAAGTCTTAATTTTGGGACAGTTTCATACATCCGTTAAGTTTTCCGTTAGAAATTATGTTAAATGATGACGTGGCGCCTACGTGGACAATAACTGAGTGCCACGTGTCAATATGGGCCCAATTCAATATTAAAAAAAAAAACAAAAACACAAAAAAAAAAAAATCAAAAAACAAAAAAACCCAACCTTCCCTCACCCCCGCACCTTCTCCCTCCATTCTCTCTTCTGCAAATCCCAGCACCTCACCCAAATCCCATCTCCCTTAAACCACCCCTCGAAAAACTCCGACCCATCAGGAAGCGGCGGCAGGACGCGCACGAAGGCTGCGAAGGCTAGGTTGTGGTTGCCGGTAAGGAAGACGTGCTTCTGATTCGGTTTCCTAGAGGGTCAGGCCAAGCCAGGCCAGGTCATTGATGTCGTACAAGACCTCCGCAAGTCTCTCAGCAAATGGTCGGCCATTGATGACTGCTTCATGAGCTCTTCGAACCCTGGCAGCCGCCACGAGCTTAATGGCTTCTGTGATTTTCTAGGTATTTTTTATGGAATCGATTCCGACTCAAAGCTTACCCAGATCGCAGTGGGTTGTTGAAGATCGAGAACGAAGAGGTTGGGGTGAGATATGGGGCAAAAGGGGTTTAGGGTTTTGGAGAAATGTGTTGGAAAATAGGGGTTTTGCAGATACCCACATGATTGAATTGGACATCGCCATTAGGTTATGGTTTTGGTTTTGTAGAAATTAAATGAATTCAAAATCTCTGCAAAATACCCAATTGGATTGAAGCTTTACGAAAGCATCAAAATCTCTGCAATTTGATTCACCATTGGACATAGAATCGGATCTGGGTATTTGCACGGTGCAGAGCTCAGATCCGTTCACAATCAAGCTCTTGCAGAAAAAAGCTTGAGGTTTGGACTTGTAGGCAGCAGCGTTGGCCAACGTCCATAAGTTCTGGCAGAGGCTGGTGACCTCGGCGAGGATCAGGAGGGAGAGAATGGCGGCTGCGTTGTGCGAGGTGATGCAGTGGCATGTGAGGAAGATGAAAAGTGTGATGAGGACGACGACGGGGATGCTGTGGGCGAAGAGAATAGAGGTGTGGAATTGGAGAAGAGAGAAGGGATGGAGAAGGGGGGGGGTTAGTGATGGGTAGGGTATATATTATTATTATTATTATTTTGTGTGTTTTTGTATTTTTTTAATTTTTTAATATTGAATTGGGCTCATGTTGACATTCGCTCAGTTATTGTCCACGTGAGCGTCACCTCATCAGTTAACAGAATTTTTAACGGAAACTTAACGGATATATGAAACTGTCCAAAATTAAGACTTGATGTATGACTCTGTGATGAAAAAAACTACAAAACTTCGGGATAATAAACATTGATTAACCTTAGAATTTAACGGCTACTGAAAAGTTAAAAAGACAAATTTTCCGACCATGAAATAAAAAGTTGACATTTTGATTTGAGCTCAGTGGTCAGATAAAACTAGAATCACCAAGCATATGATCATATCAAACACCCAAATTTCGACCATTCCTGCATTTCATCAACAAAATCTCTGTACCTCCTAGACCGCCATGGCCATGGCGTCGTGGTTCTCTCGCCTCCGCCGTTCCTCACAGCGCTTCTTCTTCACCTCCTCCGCCCTCCGAACCTCCATGTCCACCAAGCTGGCGAGAACCCAAAATACAACGAACTCCGAGAGCCCGAAAACCCCATTTCTCTTGTGGTCGAGCTCGCTGCTTCCGGTCGCACTCGCAGTCTCAGCCGGATCGCTTGCCCTCCGCCCCCAATTGGACCCATCACTCTGTGAAGCCCCCAGTGCAAATTCTCGGTAAATTTCATTCATTTCAATCAAATGTGAAAGCATTTTCTTTTTTCTTGTTGGTATTGATTGGTTATAGGCTCTCTCTCTCTGATCGCACACAGCAACGAGTTTGTTGTTAAAGGGCTGTGCAAGGAAGTCCCACAAGAGCTTGTTGATGAATTGAAGGATGTTTGTCAAGTATTGCGTTCACCCAATTTGGCAATCTGTTCGATTCATTGTTCTCTTTCTTTGATTTGAAATTCCTGTTAGTTTTTTAACTGGGTTTTTGTTGATAGTGGTATTTGGTGATTTTTATAGGATAACATGACAATGGATTATGAGGAGAGGTATAACCATGGAAAACCGCAGAACAGCTTTCACAAAGCGGTTAATATTCCCGACATCGTTGTGTTTCCGGGGTGAGAAGCTTGCTTCATTTGCTTCAATGCCAGCTGCTTATTGCGTTTTCCTTTATGCTACAAGACTACCAACTTTAGATTGAAAACTCTTCAACATGTGATGATAGTTTCCGTACAAAGATATGCCCTTCAAGTAATATTATGTACTTAATTCCAATTTTCTCCACAAAATGTGTTTGGATTCATGATTTCAGGTCTGAAGAGCAAGTTTCTATGATAGTCAAGTCATGCGACAAGCATAAGGTCTGAATTTCTTTTTCCTTCTATAAAGGATTAAAGGGTTTTTTTTTTTTCTACATTTTCTGTTAGTTTGTGCTACGGCTCATGCTTTTCTATGTTTACAACTTCATATTTCCATTGGATTGTTCTTTATTTGAAGTTTATAATTTTGGATTGTGATCCCAATAATATGGTGAATATAATTTCTCACATGAACTTCCAGATTGAGAACAACATATGATTAAGCCCACATCTTATCTTGTGTATATTATTTCTTAGATTCACAGGTTTCGGGATGATTAAATTCCCCTTTAGAAGTAACAAACTGGTTTCGCTTTTGTTTGTAAAACAGGTTCCAATTGTACCATATGGCGGAGCTACATCCATTGAGGGTCACACCTTGTCTCCCAATGGAGGTGTTTGCATTGACATGTCATTAATGAATGTATGTATATGCACGCAGTGCTGTTTAGTATCAGAATATTATTGAAATTTCTTTTTCTGTTTCAAGATATCACTTTGTTCTTCTGCTGATTGGTCTAGTGTCAGTCCTTAATTTTTGTAATAAGTAAACCTCAAAATAGTAATCACATTTATGCAACTAACAAAGGTTGTAGAATGATTACTTGTAAATTTCTTAGTAAGGCTCCAAATTGTCTTCAGTTGTGAACATATATACCTGGAGCAGATACTTTCTATTTAACCTATATCACCTGTTCCTTCGGACAAATTCACAACAGAAAAGAAAAGTTTCTAGGCTAGATTATACTATGAGTGTGTCTAATTCTTATCCCTCTGTGTACATTTTCCTTTTGTACTTTCCTCCTGATATTCCCCCCATTTTGTTTCAAATTTTAGCATGTTAAAGCATTACATATTGAGGACATGGATGTTGTTGTTGAGCCTGGGATTGGATGGATGGAGCTTAATGAATACCTGGCTCCTTATGGTCTATTTTTTCCCCTGGATCCAGGTAAATTTCTTTTATGTTTTCTTTTTGCGCATAGGTTATCAGACAATGTAATATATCCCTGGATGTAGAAGTTGTTTTCAGTTTTATACTTTTTGAATAATTTTTCAAATAATTTGTAGCAGTGGTGCATTGTGAATGAAAAACTCTATCTGTAGCTGTATATAGGCAATGCATGTGTTAAAGAATTCTCTGATAATACTACTTTAGCTTGTCTTAATGCATAGGTGAATTTGGTGCTCTCTTGCTTCACAACCTATAGGATAAATTTTTTACCTTTTAATATTGTGGTTTAAAGTGTATTGGACAATTTCAAGATCAGTTTGACATGGCAAAGTTTCATCTTACATATTCAAGATTTTTGAATAGGAGATTGGAATCTTTATGTGCCTTAATCTCTCTACCTATTATTTCTGTTAGAAGTGATACTTAATACATTGTCAAGTTGGAGTTTTGCATTTGTGAAAATCTTGTCTAATATCGATCCAATTGAGCTCTAGTCTTTTCTGTCCATGCTTACATGCTGGTATGGAATTGTAGATGAGTTCAATACATAGGTAGAGAGATTGCACATAAAGATTTTCTTCACATGCAATGTTCGTATGGAAGAGACCATTTCTTCTAACCCTCAGATTCCCAAGGAAGATTATAGGTTTGTGTTTTCCGGGTGGAGTTAATGATTTTGGTGGTTGTTATATGTAGGAATTAGAAACACTGTTTAAAACTTTACATTTGCTTAACTGCTTAAAAGTTAATCTGACCCTAGTACCTTATCTTTCTATAGCCAGGCTGGAAACAAACCACAAGAATCGATAATTTAGAATATAGTTCTGTTTACTAAATATATTGTTGCTAACCAAAAACCTCACTTGGATAACATTGTTTTATATCAGTCGTCATGATATGTGTTTATCACCAGTTTACTGTTTAATGTGCATTTTCTATATCTTTAACATTTTTGTTTGTAAGTGCTATCCTTTGGTGTTGCCATGTAGCCTTGAGTACATGGATAATAAATTGATAATTGAAGGCATGCTCCTTAAGTTAATGTAATTGTTCGTTTTTATCTTTTGTCGTATTAGTTTCGCTTAATACGCCGAGAGTTACAACATACTTGTTTTGATGTGTTTCTTTCCACCACAATTTGTCCTCGTTCTCTCCTAAGTCAAAGTTTTATGTATTTCCTATTTGTACGCATGCAGGGCCTGGTGCAACAATTGGAGGAATGTGCGCGACACGTTGCTCTGGTTCCTTAGCTGTTAGGTAGTTGCTCTGCTCTTTTAACTTTTAAATATTTTATGGATACAATGACGTATACACATTACATTTGATTACCTACTGGTGTACCTGCAAATTTAACTGAATAATGGAGTTTTGGCTTTCTAAGAAGTGCTAATTAACCTTGTTTACTAGGCTTTAAACTGTAGCCTTTACTTTTAACGAAGGAAAATCTTTAATCACCTACTCAAGTGTGTCTTGTTGAAGTTATTGGTCTAAGCACATATGATGGTGTCACCCTAGTTTTACCCATTTGTTAATATGTGTCGTGTGATATCCTGAATCTTGGGATGTCCAAAATAAACAAATAGGAGATTTAATATATATACACAATATGTAAGATATATCTCAGAATATTAATCAATAGACCTGGAAAGTTGCAATGATGAAGGAAAGACTTTCTTGATCCTGCTGTCCACTTAGTTTTGATCACGTTAAGATCTCTCTCTCTCTCTCCTCCTCTGTCTCTCACTCCCTCTCTCTTGTCACCAAATAGTAGCCCCATCGATCTTCGTCATAACCCAAACTTCATATCTCAAACGAAGCCTGAGGAGACTGCTTGAGACCATATATCGCCTTTTTTCACCTGAAAACTTTCCTTTCCTTTCCTTTCCCCTGAGGTGGAAAACCTGGTGGAGGTCTCCACGAAGAAAGGCCCTTTTGACATCGAGCTGACACAGTGGCCAAGATCTGTTAGTTGCAACTGACAGAATGAATCGTATGGAATTGAGTTTAGATTGTCCGCCAGAGCAAACGTCTCGAGATAATCAATACTATTGGAATTGAATGATTCCTTCTTTGTATTAAGCATTGACAGATACTATTGAGTAACAGATGCCTTTGATTTTAAACTTATATACAATTAATAGTGTGATTATCTTATCACATTGTTTTTTTATTCTATCAATGATTCCATGTAAAATTTAGTTTCATAGGTCTAGTTTAATATTGATTTTAATGATTTTGTTTTTAGCATGTAGGTATGGAACCATGCGTGATAATGTCATCAGTCTCAAGGTTTGTCAATTATCTTGACTGATGCTTGACTCTAATTTGCGATGTTTGTATTTCTTATGTTGTTTATCTTCCAGGTAGTTCTTGCAAATGGAGATATTGTTAAGACTGCATCTCGTGCTAGAAAGAGTGCTGCAGGGTTTGTTTTCTATTCTATTTTATTTTATAACTATGTGGTTGATCTTTGAGTAGTTCTCCCCAACTGAGGCATGTTGTGAACATTAAAAATTTTGCACATCATAGGTATGATTTGACCCGCCTGGTGATTGGAAGTGAAGGAACACTTGGTGTAATAACGGAAGTCACTCTACGCCTTCAGAAAATTCCGCAATACTCAGTGGTAAGTTGATAGGTCTATTACTATAACTGATAAGCTTCATTTATTTCAACATCATGACCTCGTTGGACTGTTGTATGATTTTTGTCTTTCAGTTTATTACTTCTAGCCGTTTACATTATCTCGAATTACAGTTACATTTGCAGGGTATACTTCTGTAATTTCATTCTGTTATTAATATTAATTTAAATTGTAGGTTGCTATGTGTAATTTCCCTTCAATTAAGGATGCAGCAGATGTTGCTATTGCTACTATGCTGTCGGGCATTCAGGTAAGAGTTTTAGGCGCATATTACATATCTGAATTCATAGTTCAGTTTCTTGACAGAGTTCTTCTTCATAACCATTAGGTTTCACGGGTTGAACTACTGGATGAGGTTCAAGTGAGGGCAATCAACATTGCGAATGGGAAGAATTTTCTTGAAACTCCAACTTTAATGTTCGAATTTATAGGCACAGGTGAAGTGAGGTCTCTTATTTTTCATCTTGACTGTCATTTATTTTTTATTTTTGATTTTTGTTTTGGCTAAATACATTTCCAGAAAGGAGAACATCTTAATCATTGAGATAACTGCAACAACAACAAAGCCTTTTCCCACTAAGTGGGGTCGGCTATATGAATCCTAGAACGCCATTGCGCTCGGTTTTGTGTCATGTCCTCCGTTAGATCCAAGTACTCTAAGCCTTTTCTTAGAGTCTCTTCCAAAGTTTTCCTAGGTCTTCCTCTACCCCTTCGGCCCTGAACCTCTGTCCCGTAGTCACATCTTCGAACCGGAGCGTCAGTCGGCCTTCTTTGCACATGTCCAAATCACCGGAACCGATTTTCTCTCATCTTTCCTTCAATTTCGGCTACTCCTACTTTACCTCGGATATCCTCATTCTCAATCTTATCCTTTCTCGGTGTGCCCACACATCCCACGAAGCATCCTCATCTCTGCTACAACCCATTTTGTGTACGTGTTGATGTTTCACCGCCCGACATTCTGTGCCATACAACATCGCTGGCCTTATTGCCGTCTTATAAAATTTTCCCTTGAGCTTCAGTGGCCTACGACGGTCACACAACATGCTGGATGCACTCTTACACTTCATCCATCCAGCTCGTATTCTATGGTTGAGATCTCCATCTAATTCTCCGTTCTCTTGTAAGATAGATCCTAGGTAGCGAAAACGGTCGCTTTTTGTGATCTTCGCTAAATTGCTCCGGTCATTAGTGTGGATAAGTATATAAATGGATAGAGATAGGAAAGCAAACACAAGATGTACGTGGTTCACCCAGATTGGCTACGTCCACGGAATAGAAAGAGTTCTCATTAATTGTGAAGGGTTTACACAAAGTACATAGGTTCAAGCTCTCCTTTAGTGAGTACAAGCGAATGATTTAGTACAAATGACATTAGAGTACAAATGACATTAGGAAATATTGTGGGAGAATGATCTCGTAATCACGAAACTTCTAAGTATCGGAGAGTGTGGTATCGACTTGCCTTATCTGTCTCATAGGTAGATGTGGCAGCTTCTCTGGAAGTACTCTTCCTCCATCCAGGGGTGGTATCTTTAAACTGGTGGAAGATGCACAAGGTAATGTATCAATTTCACTTTGAAGCTTACTTGTAGTTTCAGGCTTGGTCAAGCGCGATACAAACCATGTAGTAGGAGTCCCCCAAGTCGCCGAGCTAGGGGATTTGCTGAAAGAGGTGACAGACAAGGTAAGCAATCAGAGCTCCGGCTGATTGTTCACCTTCTCCCCATCTTGCAAGCAGCATGAAGGATAAAGAGAAGAAAAATGAGAAGAGATGATATGGGATACTTTTGCTTTTGAAGAAGAAGTAACTTTCCACAGGCTTATTCTTGAACTGAGCTAGAGGGTTTTCTGGTTTCCTCCAGAGTATAAGGCCGACTGAAGAATTTGAGGGTCAAAACAAGTCCATCAAATCTAGAGTACGTTCGACCCTGCTGATATGGGATACTTTTGCTTTTGACAGAGTAATGGATGGATCGGCACGTGTGCTGTTACGCTTGTCTCCACATTGCTTCCTTGTATCCTTCGCACTTGCCCTATCTGTTTCCTCAAGCAGATGCGGTATCTTCCCTGGCAACATAAGATGTTGAAGATGAGTACTCGAGAGCAATGCCAGGTAAGTAATCAGGTAAAGGGTTCCAGGCTGTCAGTTCCTGGCTGGGAGCTTGATTTCAAGTGCTGACTGATTGCTCTCTTTCTCCTTGTCTTGCAGGTAAAAACAAGGCCAAAGGAAAAGACAGGGAAAAAGCATGATATGGGATACTCTTGCTTTTAACCCTGATGATATGAGATATTCTTGCTCTAGTATAGCTTGTTTGCAGAGGTATTATCGGGGGGAAAGAAAGCTGAATATTTCGAAAGGCTTCGTTGGGAGTGCCCTCTCAGATATGAGGAAGGGTTGAGCATTTTTGCAGGTCTGCCTGTCCGTTGGGGATGGAGGTCGACATATATAGGAGTCTCCCTAACAACAAGTAGTAATGCTATTTCCTTTACCCTGCTTGGTCATAGCACGGTAGTGGGAGCTGCCAGCTTCACATGTTTTAACTCTGTCAGAGCACTTTGAAAAAGTGGTATGTGGTATCTGGCTCTCGAGATTCGGAGAACGATGCTTCTTCGATTTTTGAGAAAGCAATCATGGTGGGGGTCTGGCTCTCGAGATTCGGGGAGCAGTCTCTTCGATTTTTGAGAAAGTAATCATGTTGGGAGTCTGGCTCTCGAGATTCGGAAGGCGGTGCCTCTTCGATTTTGGAGTAAGCAATCTTGTTGGGAGTGTTTTCTCGGATGTGAGTAAAGGTTGGGCATGTTTGCTAGTCTACCTTGCCACGAAGCACGGAGGTTGACACACAGGGACTTTCCAATTATCCAGCAGTGGTACTGTTCCTTTTAAAAGATAACTCAAAGGAGGAATTGCAGACAAGACAGCAAAAGTAAAAGAAGGTATTTTGGCTCAATCCCTCGATACTTTAGAGGGTGCATTATCATTGATTTAAATAGTGTACAATGACTTGATTTACAAGTATAATTAATCTACAAAGAATACATAAAGGGAATGTTTTAATAAAACAGGGAAATCTGGAAATCATGATGAAACAGGAAACAATCCCAAGAGATCAGGAATGTATCATCCTTTACGCCCCCGCAAGCTGACAGTACAATCAAGTACAGGAAGCTTGGAAACCAGAAGTCGAAAACGAGGAAGAGAAAGGCCCTTGGTGAAGATGTCAGCAATCTGATCATGAGTAGAAAGATAACGAACATCAAGCTCCTTGCGAACAACCTTTTCACGAACATAATGGTAATCTACCTCACACATGCCGAGTGCGGGCATGAAACACCGGGTTGGAAGCAAGGGATATAGCACTGATATTGTCACAGAACAGTGTAGGACAATGGAGAGGAAACTGGAGGTCACGGAACAGCATACGAAAACCATGAAAGAGTGGCAGCGGTGATTGCAAGTTGACGATACTCGGCTTCAGTGCTGGACCGAGAGACCCCATTTTGTTTCTTGGCACTCCATGAGACAAAGATTGGGAACCCAGATACAAGCAATAGCCCCCGGTGGAACGCCGATCATCAGGATCCCCGGCATAATCGGCATCGGAAAATGCCGTAAGACGAAATTGAACCAGGCTTGTAGATAAGACCGTGAGAAGTAGTAGTGCGACAAGGGTAACGAAGAAATGCGTTTGACGGCGGCCCAATGAGTAGAAGTCGGCTGGTGAAGAAATTGGCAGACTTGGTTTGACGGCGAAGTTGATGTCGGGGCGAGTGAGAGTCAAGTATTGAAGGGCGCCGACAACACTTCGGTATTCAGTAGGATCCGGCAGAGGCAAGGGTCACCATCCTGAAGACTGAGCCGTCGCCCACTAACGGCAGGAGTAGGAACCGGCTTGGCACCATTGCATTTTGGTGCGGTGAAAGGAGGTCAGTGGCATACTTCTGTTGGGAAAGAGAGAGACCTGATGGAGTGCGGACCACCTCCATGCCTAAGAAATAATGAACCGGTCCAAGGTCCTTCATAGAGAAACGGAGGCCCAAATTCTTAATGAGGGTGACAATATGAGAGGGATTATTCCCGGTGACCAAAATATCATCAACATAAATTAAGAGATAAATACGAGTTGAGCCATGAATATAGGTAAAAAGCGAGTGATCCGCGGGTAGAGGACGAAAACCCAAATCTTCCAAATGAGTGGAAAAACATTGGAACCATGCACGGGGCGCCTGCTTGAGCCCATATAAAGAACGACGAAGGCGGCACACATGATGAGGGAACTGTGGATCAACAAAGCCACGAGGTTGGTGCATATAGACCTCCTCAGACAAAGAGCCATGAAGAAAAAGCATTCTGAACATCCAACTGACGAACAGGCCATTGAAACTGAACTGAAAGAGCCAAAATTAAGCGAATAGTAGAGTGATTGACAACAGGACTAAAAGTTTCACCATAATCAAGGCCGGGTTGCTGATGAAAACCATTGGCTACCAAACGAGCCTTATACCGCTGAATGGACCCATCAGAATTCTGTTTAATACGAAACACCCATTTGTTTGGCAAAATATTCATAGAAGTAGTACGAGGAACAAGAGTCCAAGTACCAGCACGTTGAAGTGCATTAAATTTCATTCATCGGCCATCGCAGTACGCCATTCTGGAAAAGTGTTGGCCTGACTAAAGCAAGTAGGCTCAATAGGACCGGTAGAAGAAATGGCAGCAGAAAAAAACATATTTAGGAGGCTTAAGAGAAGCCGTTTTGGACCTGGTGAGCATACCATGGGAAGGAGAGGGCACGGCAGGTGGTACACAGCAGCAGAGGGAGCCTCTGGAGGCGCATCAGAGTGAACGGCAGAGGGGTGGCTGCTTGTGCAAAAGAAAGAACCCGCCTGTGAGGGTCACGGGAGTAAACCTGGAGGGCCGGCTGTGGTGGGTCGGATGATGGACGGGATTGATGAGTCTCCAAAGAGGGGGACACAACCACCGGTTGGCTGCTAGACAGTCGGGGGGCACGCGGAAGAGGCCCAGTGATTTCTAAAACAGGAGGAGGAGACGAGGCCGGAGAGGACGGGGCAAGAGAGCCAGAGATGGCCTTGAAAGGAAAATTACCTTCATCAAACACAACATGGCGTGATAAAAAGATGCGATTAGTAGAGATGTCTAAGCACCGATAACCTTGATGATTGAGAGAGTAACCAAGAAAAACACATTTAGTAGAACGAAATTGGAGTTTATTATTATTATAGGGTCGTAGGTAGGGAAAACATGCACACCCAAAGGTCTTTAAAAAACTATAATCAGGTTCTTTTAAGAAACAACTTTTGATAAGAAGACATAAAAACCAAGTACTTTAGAGGGGAGGCGATTGAGAAGATAAAACTGCTGTGTGTGCATGGCCTCAGCCCAGTAGGCAGGAGGCATCGACGCATGGGCCATTAA